AACACTGGCTCAGTTTGACAATGGCTGCAAAAAATCCGCTCCTCTCGCTTTGAAGTTATTATTAAGTCAAATCGTATTTCACCACAACATCAAGTGTATTAACACAATTTGAAATGAACTAAACAAATTATGCAAATGTGTACTTTTGTATTAAGAGTTATCACGATTGTAAAATGAACACGACACTGTTCTCTCAATACTAGCTGCTATTTATTTTTAGAACTGACATTGTGCCTCGTTTAATTGAGACCACGTGATTAATTTCAGGTACCTACTAGACATGCCCCGTAGATTCATTCGCGATAGATTTACAATCCATCAAGGATTAAACATTTTAATTAAGCATTTTCCGAAGTTTGATTTTTTAAAAATCTATGCTAACTACAAAACCCGGCTAAGCCAAGTTTTACGCATCTTCATTGTGTGTGACATCGTTTGAGTACAACATAATTGATTCGCCTTCCGTAAGTTATATACATCAAACAGCCACATAAGTCATCATGCGTTTATACATGCTGTTTAAATGTATATTAAACTATTAGATTAACATATATTAGAGATATGTAATCTAAACTAGTATTAAAAATGCGAAAGTAACTCTGTCTGTCTGTTTGTCGCGCTCTCACGCCAAAACTACTGAACCATTTAAATTAAATTTGGTACACAGATAGTCAGAGATAGTCACACAGATAAAGTCGGACAGTAGCGTAGATAGAGTCACACAATAAAAAAAGGACATAGGCTACTTTTTAATGCGAAAAAAGGTTTGTAAAGGGTTGAAAGGGAGGATGAAAAGTTGTATAGAAGTATCGTCATTTTAGAGCTAAAAGATTGAAACTTATTTTTTAGCCTGAGGATTCGATATAAATAAACATGACACTAAGTTTACACATCAGAATAACACATTTGCTATAATTTATAAAAATATATTGAGAATTATCCAAAATATAAGTACGAAGGAAAAAAATGTGCCATCTGCGAGCTATTTTTGCGTGCGCCGTTGAAGTTACATGTGCATAATGTAAAATGGAAATGTTAATCTCAAAGGGTCCTACAAAAAAGCCCGTGACAGCACGAGTATCTATCTTTTATTTCTAAGAAATTATCGCCAAAATAATGAATCTATATATATAAAAATGAATTGCTGTTCGTTAGTCTCGCTAAAACTCGAGAACGGCTGGACCGATTTAGCTAATTTTGGTATTGAATTATTTGTGGAAGTCCAAAGAAGGTTTAAAAGGTAGATGAAAATGCTCTGAATTAAATAAAAATAACACTTTTGTTTTTCCTTTCATATGTCCCCCGTCGGAGAGATTCCTTTTGTTTGTTTTAAGTTTATTTTATACAAAAGTTTAGGTCTTTTATTTATCGATTGAGGCACTACAAAGTCTGCCGGGTCAACTAGTCTTAACTTCTTATATATAAGAAGAGGAAAGATTAGATTTTTTGTTTGTTACGTTCTTTTTTTTGTGTTTGTTACTGTGAGGGCCAGATTTGTATAAAAGAATATTCAATAAGATCAATAATAAATTACACTTCCCGAAGCGAAGCGAGGGCGGGTCGCTAGTTATTTATATTTTACGATAACATTTATTGAATGATCGTTGTCATTTATTTAATATAATTTATAATTATATTTATATAATATGTTATTTTGTTATTAGTGCCGGTTGCCTAGTCTAATCTTCAATACTGGAGTAGAATGTTATGAGTCCGCATATTACACCACTGGGTAACATGTTTCTGCGCGATGTAATCAAATGTTTGAAGGTAATCTGAAATATTCGAGGAGGATTATTCCAATGCAATTGAAACTGAGATTATTAAGGTGGGTGACGTTTTACCGTACTGAAAATGAACTCATTGGATTTTTTATTTATTTAAAATATATCAATAGTACTAATGAAATGTTACACATTTTGGATTATCAGTTCGTATTGGGTTTACAAAATGGATTCAAAAAGCGAACTTTATCTGTTTATCATTTAGAACAACATCCGTCGCGTCAACGTAATCTTCATTGAAAATTTAGAGTTGCTTCTCCAACATGTCAAAGTTATCAACGAAACCGTTAACCGCTGATAATTTTCTATATAATACTTCTTAAATTTATTATCAATACTATTTTTAGTGACACTTTAATAAAGCAAGTAATATGCCATATGATTTAATTCTTATTTACTGGTCTTTAATCATCGTTGATTATAGCACTCAAGCTACTACGGTTTTAACCGGGTTTCCTGTTTGAATATGGATCTGCTAAATCTACATGTAAAATTATGTCATCAAGATTTATACGTAATGACGTTACATTCTGTAATTCTGTTGTTCTTTCTACGTACAATATTGATATCGGTAATCGTTGGGGCAACTAGAATTTAATATTGTGCTAGCGTCTACAAAATATGTACGAACGCACGTTTTTGTTAATTTAGCATGTATCTATCTATCTGTCTATGCAAAATAATATTTCAACGTAATTTTCACAAACTACAAGGCCATTGATGAACTTGAAAATTTTAAACACTTATCGATGATCCTGATCAAAATAACCAGCAAAAGAAAAATTATGCATTCGTTTTTTACTTAGGCTGGCTATTCTTGCACATGTGCATGATGCTTTTTTTATATGTTCATTAGACCTTGCTTAGGACCAGCGATAATCTTCGGATATATACGACAGTCTTAGCTAATTAAGACGATTAGATGTGTTTTTTTTTTTTTAAATAAGCGTTAGAGCTTAGTTAAAAAATATAAGTTACTTAGTGCTTGAAATTAATCGCGTCACTGCTTGTACTTTCAGAATTTTAGACTACTTTTCCAAAGCATAGTCTTCATGCTCTACAATCACTCATCGCTCCAAGACAGCGAATGCAGCGATTTCATTTCAACCAAAAAAAGAAGTGTCTCTGGTACCGTGTGTTTAGTAGCACCATTATATTTACTTCACGATAGTAAAATAGTTATCTCATTACAACGTTCTTGAATCCTACATCATAAGATCGCGAGCGAAATGCACAGTATCTATGAGATCCGAAATAAAAACACTTTTATGATCGACATCAATAAAAATAAATAAAAAATATACCAAATTTAATGACTGCAACCGAGAATCTTTACATAAATGTATTATAAAAACAAGACAAGTATTACAATTATGCAAGAGTCCATAAGACAACAGAATTACAAGGACACGAGTGAAGTAGTCGTTTACTCCCACGGTCATTGTGCCAAAAAACGACGTATTTTACACCCGCAAAAAATATATAGTGAAAGTTAATTAAAAGCCAACGATAAAATATCGGAAACTTCGTTTTTTTTCTGATTGATTTTAAAATCCAAACACAATTGTTTGCGAAAACTTTTGATCATTATTAATATCTTTTGATCATTGATATTGATTTTTATATTACATACCTACCATATTAAATACCATATTAAATACCTACTTTATGACCACCAAAATGTCTTTATTATTTTCATTTCACTGTACCTTTTGTATAGTTTATTAGTTTATATTCTATTATTTTTTTGGAAAACGAGCTTACAGATCATCTGGTATTACATTGTTACCAGAGCCAATAGACATGACAAAGTGAATGTGGCCACCCATCTCCAAATCTCAATCTACTACAAACTGACTGATTTCTATAATGGTGATTTAGGATGCTCTTAAATTTTGTACATTTTGTGAACTAAATTCCCTAGATGTAGGTCAGAAAAACTATATGATAAAATATATACTGCTAGCTGTTCATCTGTGTGTGTTACTTTCCTATCATTCATAGTATTAATGTAGTAATATTCTCAACTATCTTCCTATGTAACTACTCCATAATATTAAATGCCTGGTGCTGGAGGTAGTGAACGTTGCCAGTACACATGAGCTGTTCTTACCACAAATCAGGTAATATTAAAGTTTAAAAGATCATAATTAGAATAGATTTAAATTCAAGATCGTCCTGAGTCATCACATAATGGAGTGTAGGGGTTCCGTTAGTAATTTTCAATTCAAGAAGGTGGTGAGTTTGTCTGCCAACCTTTGCTTTAAACCATATGTGCAAATTAAAGTTTATAAAATCAGAGAAATTTATGACAACCCGTGAAATACAATACTTGCAGTAAACATGTTTACAATAGGTATACATTTATAAGTATGGTAGTATGATCATTAGGTATAATTATAATTTACAACCATTATAAGTTGCAAATGCATTATATGTAGTTTTATCTCGACAATTTTAAGTTCCATTTTTTATTTATACTTTCTTACTAGAACTTCGAAAGATGTAACTATTGCTGTTCCATGTGCATATTCAAGAAATCATAGTGTTTAATTATAATCTTATTTTTTCAGAGGTCTATTGGGGCTAAGACCTTTTTTATAAGGTTTTCTGCTGTTTATTAGTAAATAAATCTTTCAGTTGTAAAATTGTTGGGATTTCAGTAATTATTTAACAAGGAACCTGTTACATGTACTGTTGTTATTAGAGAAATAATATACACAATGAGAATAAACAAAGAAACAGATATTAAAATCTACATTTTAAGAATTAGGTGTGAAAGTGTCAATAGCTTAGCTTTGTTTACTTCAATATATTGTGTAAATAATTTATTTTTAAATAATAATTTATTTTGAATGCATGTTATTTATAAATTTAAAATAAATAAGAAATATGTTTGAAATTTCAAATTTGGAATTCTACTCTATTGTTCATGGTATTCAATAACAACTACTCCAGTTGGGTTGTGAATTTGTCTACTATACTACTACTGTTCTTAAAATAAACATCTACTATATGTTTCCATACTTAGAGCAATTTTTTTTTTATCGCTTAGATGGGTGTACGAGCTCACAGCCCACCTGGTGTTAATTTATCTAAATATTTTTTTTTTATTTATTTAAATGAAGCCTAACTGAATGCATTGACATTGCAATGTGAATGAATACACTGTCCTACTAGAATACACATATTAACTGAAATGTTAGTTTCACTAACCTTCTTGCTAAATGTAGCCGTTCCTGTGTGGTCAGGTGTTCCACCTGGACCATTTCGGCCACCAAATCTGCGTGCTCCATTTTGTCTGCAAATTTCATCGTTGTAAAGTATCAAGTATTTTATTGAACTTGTTATTATAACATTTTTGTATTAGAAAAATACTACTGAACTGAATATTTTTACAATAATAATTTGAGTTACTTTATAGTAAGATCCTCTTCACATTCGCCAGTTTCGGTAGAATAGAAACATTGTATACTTTTCAGTACATTGATTTCTGCCCATTTGTTATTTTATTACTCATCAAAAGATCTAGCTTTAGTTCTATGATTTTATCCAACATTAGCATTTTTGAAAAAAGTTATCAGATCATTAAGACACTGCTGATTTTAACAATGCATAATGCTATAGCAAACTTATTGATATATGAAATGACACTGATAAGATAATACAAGAGCCAATGTGTTGCCTATAAGCAACTATACCAATTTTCTCCAGTTACATTTAGCGATCAAGATTTAAGAAATAGTTGTTTCGAATTAATTAATGCGGATAATTTAAAAACGGTATCATATTAGAAAGGCGCTTTACCCAACACATTTTGTTTTTAATTTACTTCAAACAAGATATATTTTGCTATCGTTACATAAAGTTTATCGTTTATTACTACACTCTATATTATATTTATATTCATATCGTACAACTTACCACCGTCCTAGTTTATTACAAAGCAAAAGTATGTTTCATATTTGTATTGATACATTTGCTGCACAATTCAATCGTTATATTTCTCGAAAAAAAAAGATATACATTCAAAACCACTCTTTCACAGTATTATCACTGAACTAATTTGATACAAAACATTACAGTTACTTGGCATTTTCCGTTATTTTCATGAAAATTAAAACAAGGAGAAAAATCACAAGACGGCAATCAAGCAAAAACTTTACTGACAAGCAATGTGCGGTGTTACAAGTGTACATTCACACATCGCTATTATCAGTCGACTTTTTTAATTAAATAAATAAAATTTATGAATTTATCCATGTAATGAAAAATATTGTTCTAAAATTTTATTACCGTTACTATTAAATTGACTTGTAATAGCAATACTTTTAATTTAAACAACCAAAATAAATGCAATGAGTAAAATTGCCATTTTAAAAATGTAGCTGTGAAATGTTTTCGTGGCACAGCTGTTATCTGTCATTGCTTTAAAGATTATAAAGTGGCGCCAAATTCAAAATTTTAATTAACCCAATGGTGCGTGGTTTGAGGTTTAATGGAAATTGAAATGCTGTTTGCTTATAATAATTCACTTTATATCTAATAATGGAAACAAGTAGTTCAAATAGTACACCAGAACGCTCGTTGCCGAATTTATAAATATAAAGTAAAGTAAGCTTTATTATTGACAATTTTAAAAATGCAATAAAGAAAAATATGGACAATAAATACTTTAAGCAATGGCATCGTAAGAAACCGATTGCCATTTTGAAAAGAAGAAGAAGAAGAAGAAGAAGTACCATAACATAATAGGAAAAAAATCGTATAGTTTTGTTTCAAGGTTTAGGTATGAACTAGAACAATTCTTAAAAAAACATACTAATTTCAATACAATAAAACAACCAATTTGCATCTTAAATATTTATTTGGTTAATTCCAAATTATTCAATAAATGCATTTATACATAATTAAACAATGCTGCTTAGAAAAAAAGAGCGGTGTAGATAATAATAAGTAATCTATCTAGGCACTATTTTTCTCAATTGACACACCACATTAATTCAAGCAGTACATACTTTTACAACGTAAGTTTAAACTAAATATTTTACATAAAAACGATTGATGTAAAGCTAGTTAATTCTCTCCCTTACAGTTTTCGTATTATTTAATCATACTTATTGTAAAAGCCCGAATTTATTGTGTAACTCAGTAATTGTAATTAGTTTATATTTTCAAACCAAAATATAGAGCTCAGGGGCTTTAAATATCAGTAGAAATAACATTTCCTTTTTGAAATTAGGACATTAAAAGGATCAAGATGAACTCATTATTTCTCAATGGAATAATCTAGAGAAAGTTGGAAAACAATTTTACAAACAATTTTGTAAGCCATTATGTTAAATCTATACGCTTCAATAAATATAAAAAAAAAATCTAAATATGTAGTACAGTAACTATCAGAAAATGATATTACTTATTTAAAATCGAAAACCACAATAGACGTCCTCTGTGGATTTCGATCTCAAATCTGCAACAAAACTATAGCTTGTTTCTGAAAAACGTCTGCTAAATTATTTAGAAACAATTTTAATGGCTATTTTCAGGGCGTTACTATTTTTCCTCTTTAACAAACATGCCGCTGATTCAAAAGTATTTATCTCTTCCTCTCGGCCATCGTGTACATAAATTTTTTTTCAAAATACAATATAAAGCCTCTGTATTTAATTTTTTTTTTTTAATAAACACAAATAAACTGATATTAGTATACTAATACGGACTAACCTCCTGAATAATGTACGGCTTCCGATAACTAGATACATAGTACATACCCAAAGTCAAAGTAGACATAAAATTTGTAACATGACGAAATTTACAATAAACAACACTAAATTGATGGGAGATAGTAAAACTTTCAGCAATAAAGCACACTTGGAATCATTGATGAGCCAATCCCAGCGTTTCGACTAGAGCAAATATTCCTATTCATCTAACAACAACTTCAACGACTTTCTTATTTTAGATTATTAAAACCTTATTATATCTTTAGTTAATTTTTTTTTACGTTAATCATATTATAATGTAGAAATCCCTAATTTTAACTACCAAAAATGAAAAATTGCGTTATTATGAACACATCCATGATAAAATAAAATACTGAACGAAATGTTTTATTTTTCTTGTGCGTGTCAGCTCCGACCCGCGATTGGAGTTTACTCTTTAAATGCAATTTACATTAAATACACAACAGACAAAGGGGGTAAATAAAAGCAGCTCTCATAATACTGAAACCAAGTATGTATATGCTTTTAGTCATGATGGTTTATATTGATTTTATAGATTATTTTACATAAATAATACGGGTACTGCTATGTATTTTTCATTACGTATATTGGTCTGTTACGAAAATATATTTAATTCTGCTAAGATAGAGCTAGTAGAATTTGAATTAGTTAAAATAAATGACCCTACATTCATATTTTAACTGTCTTATTTATTTATGCACTATAATAAATTTATATTAAATATGTTAATAGATATTTAAAAAAAACTCAAACTAGATGAGGCGAGATAGTTGAATATAATCCACTTTGATGATACAGCCCACTTTTGGACCTAAGCCTCCCCTGAGGTTGGCGATTATGTGCTATCCGGAAGATTCCGGCGATTTTCAAAAGGACTTCAACCTCTTAGGGAGTAAACTCCAAACATATCGCCCAAACTATAGACTATTCACTGGCCAATAACTTTATTTCCATCCATACCGACACATTCTACACTGCCCATTGTCCATCAATTTGTTTTATTTTGTAATTATAATCTAATAATACTAGTATTTTTTTTTCTAATACACAATACTTATGTATCGAGACATATTTGCGAAAATTTAAATATTTACTGTCTATTAGTATAAAATATTTTTTGACAGCAAAAAAAGATATATCGGCTAAGGGATTCCGGAATAAAGGAAAAGTCTTGTAAATCATATTCTTATTCGTCTATTTATCTATTCTTATTCGCCTTAAGAAGTAACTACACAAATCGAAATCGCGGCTACTAACATATAAAATTAAAGAATGGCTTTTTTGCAAGCTTTATTTTGTCTAAGCAGTTATGAATAATTATCAAAAAGCATGAATTTTGATTTCTACAATGAATCCAATCCACTCAAATAGCTTAAATCTTTATTTTGCCAATGACATAAGAATATAACTTATGGTAGGACCACCATCTTCATACTAAATTATAGAATTAAGGTAGTAAAGGATACAAAGTTGCCTCAAAAATAAGTGAGACACAAAAATAATTGAATGTAACGTCTAGTACTAATTTTAAACATTGTTTAATCTAATAACAGTATTGTCATTGGCAACGTGGCGCCTTTAAAATATATTTTCAATTCACTTACGTACTTACTTACCTTAGTTTATCCGGCTTTCGTTAATAAATTTACAAATAGCATATAAAAATACATATTATGGCACATCACCACGCGCCTGGTGGAGAAAAATATGCGATTATAATTATTAAAACTTTTTCATTAACTTTCCTTAAAACAAAAATCTGAAGAATTTCATTTACGACCACAGTAAAATAAGTAAGTACAAATTATAAATTATCTAAAAATGAGTTATATGATGCGTTACGCAAAAGCCATATTTAGGTTCAACTCAAGGATTTTGTTGCGTAAGAAGGTATTTATACGCCACCTTTACTTATCAATCACCTCATAAAACCAAGCTTTACTCACGTATTCCACAATATTTTATACAAGACATCAAAATCACTCGCACAAATGAGACCATCTTTTTTTCACTTCAAAACTTATACATAACTTCAATAAGATATTAAACACCAAATTTAAATATAATGTGCGTTACATTTCGCTACGAAATTACTACATTTACAAGTGATTGGTACAAATACCTCTAAAGTACCGTCTAAGAATATTCAACGATTGAATAACTCGAATGTTAAAAACGGAAGAATTTAATTCGAACGTTCTTCCTTCTAACTTCTACTGAAAGGTTTCAAATTTTATTACTTCATGCAGAAATTTATTAACTAATTTTTAGTCAGTAACCGCACTGAAATCCATAAGTTCACAGTACTGTGTCTTGATGAGAACATCAGAGTCCAAACTAGCAATTCTTTGGTTTATTCTAGTGTCCTATATTTTAACAGTGGCAACCTATCAGGGTCACCACGACGCGGCACTCAGGTGTTTTCGTCCGATGAGTCCTCTGATGATGAGCTAGTCGTAAGGCTCGAAGCTAAAGTTAGCTGTCGAATGAACGGCTCCCGTCCCAGACTCTGACCTAGGGGAAGACGCCTGACGCCCATCCTTTCACTTTCTGGCAACGATTTACAACACTTCTCTTCTGTTATTGCATCACGCGACATTGAACTAAAATAACACATACGTACACATTACTTCCATGAATACCATCTACAGTACATATATTTATTAAATTATTTCAGATACCTACATCGGAAAAGTTCGACAAATAAAGTACAGCCCCAAAGTAAACGGTAAACACAATTCATTTACAATACTTGTTATTTTATAATTAGTTAATGCGAAATATTTCACGATAGCAATTTTTTTCAAGCTAATTTATACACAATACGTCTCCACTAACGACTTCCTCCACGATGAACGAAGAATAACACAATAAAGATCACAAAATTTATATGGTAAATTTGCAAAATCACTCGTCATATTTTGCCCAAACTGTATGCCCCCACGGTTCGGTGCCACCATTCTACCTATTTCTTCGTCTTATGCGTTATTTTGCGGTAACTTGAGCGAATCAAAATACGCGAGTGATAACGCATGAGACGTGACTACAAATGTAGTCACACTAAGAATAAATCCACATATAATAATGTAAATTACACTAATGCTTAACTAAGGTTGAATATTAAATATGTACCCTGTCAACTCCATCATGGAACCTCGCCGGCATTGTCCTCGTTGCGGTCCTTGCATAATACTAGCTGGTCTGCTAGATGCACCCAGAGGATCTGAATGGGCCACGTCCTCCATCAACAACACAGACGGACCACCCAGGCTTGTGCTTCGTTTCGATAATAAGCTAGGACCTTGACGTACACCACCGTCTTTTGAGGACGCTTCGCCTTTACTGGTACTCTCTCTGTGCCCCTCGGAATCAGATAGCACTACAGCTTCAGCAGCGCCTTGGGTCGAACTAGAGCTTTCTCTTCGGAATAGA